TATTAATCACTTTTAAAAAGTGTATATGTAATGTATAGAATTATTGTTAGTAGTTAATACTAAGAAATATGGATATGTGAAATTTTCAAATACTTATGACAAGCATGTGAATTTTAGGAATTATCCCCTTTCCTTTAGGACTGGCAGCCTGGTGCAAAAGGAGTGAACTTTGCAAAAAGGAACTCCTTTCTTTTCCCCAGACAGGTGGTATAATGATTATGTTTGTTCATAAAGATGATCCTGATGTAGTGTGAGCACTTTCAGCACAGGGTATTTGTTATACATAAGTGTAATGAATTTTGTTAGACGAGAAATGATGAGAATCCATACCACAGAAGTAAAGTCCTCATAGTATTTTTCAATGGAATAAAAAGCAATGTTTGCTATTTGAGAAAGCACAGAGCAGGAGCACAGAGAGAAATTCTGATTTTCAAATGTTCTTCAGTGAAGCATCCTTGTTTTTAAAATTTCACATTTAAAGAATTAGCATTGAAATAATGCACAAATCAACACTTAATTCTCTGAGTCAAACTTACTTTTATTTTTATCTCCCATTTTAATTTATCACTGTTTTTATCATGAATATCAGAAGATGACCATAGAATGTTCTAAATGTTTAGTTTTGTATATTTCAAAAAGGAAAAGGATATGTAAAACTTTTTTAATAAAAAAACCAAAATATGAAGGTTATATTTTTTAAAGATTTGTGATTAAATGTCTGTGATAAGATTCAAGGAATAAAAGCATCTTCAGTTGTATGTAAAATTATGCCACAAAACAACTTTGTGAAATTCCACTACTATCTAATCAACCCTTTTGCAAATAAGAGCTGTAAACTCTGGATACATTATTTTGAAAATCTACCTGAAGATATTAGAGCATAACCAAAAAATAGTCTAAAAGTGGGAGGGGAATTTATGCTTGTAAGAAAGGACTGATAGTAAGGTTCCTGTGCTTTTAATGCCTTTTAGTTTAAAGGCACACCTTGTTCAGCTCCACTCAGGATATACAGTTTTAGCAGGTTAATAATTAGAGAACCAGGTTTAGGACAACCATAGCACTTGGAAAATACAGAGTAATATCTAAGAAGTGAGAAGACAGTGAGAGGGAGCTCCAATCTCTTTCTAAATCTGTCATTGATCCTTGAACTATACATCTATAGGCCAGGCCCTATGAAGCCCAGCAAAAGAAAAAGGAGCTAAACAAAAATTGTACTTGTCTACACATGTGTAAATACTGAATAGTTTCTCTGGTGTGAGAAACTGAAAGTGTAAATAAGGGTCAAAATATATAACTGATGATGTGAAATAGGAAGAAAAGGTCTAAAGGTGAAGGGGAAATGGGAGGGGTAGGGGAAAGGAAAGGAATGGAATTAACATGAGAAAGTTAAAAAATGGAAACAAAGTCTCTGTAAATAGGGAGGGGTGGAGGGGTTGAAGGGAGAGCAGAGGAATGGGGAAAAAATAAGAAACAAGATATATCTTGTAAAGGTACAAGTTTCCAATGATGACTGTCACTGTATTGTATACCTAAAATGTACCAATAAACTTAATGAAAAAACAATATACTTGTCTATCTAAGGAAAAGCAGAGTTTTCAGTTATAGTTCAATTAAGTTAGTTGCCTACCAAGCCTACTACTGATAGGAATATAACAGAATGCAGACTTGCTATAGTGTATTATTCATGTCCAGGGAACAATGAAACTTACTAGAAACATGAATAAACAGGAAAATAGGCCCCATCCTCAGGAAAAAAAGGCAATTAATAGAGAATGACTGAAAATACCCATATATTAGATTTAGCAGACAAGGATTTAAAAGTGCTATTATAATATGCTTAAGGATGTAAAGGCTAATGAACTTGTAAGAGTAAGTAATTCAGAAAAATCTCAGTGGAATCTAAAATTTTTGAACTAAAGAAGATCAAATTCTTTTTTTGTTGTTTTTACCTGGGAATCAAACTCAGGACTTTGTGCTTGCCAGGCAGGCATGGCACCACTGAGCTAAATGCCTGGCCCGGATAAAAGAAAGCTTAACAGGACACTGTAGATAACTGTAGAAAAAGTCAGTGACCTTGAAGATATATTACTATGATTATCCAATCTAGTGAACAACAAGAAAGAATGAAAATGAGCAAAGTTGGGGAAGGATTGGAACAATATAAAGTAATCTAACAAATGCAATTGAATTTCTAGAAGGAGAAGGAAACAATTGGACAGAAAAATTATTGAAAAAAATAATGGTGCAAAATTTCTCAACTTTGATGAAAAACAAAAATGAAGATTCTAGAAGTTCATTGACCAAAAGAAGAATAAATACAAAGAAACTAATACTTAAGAACATCGGAGTCAAAATATTGAACATCAAAGCTAAAAAGAAAATCCTAAAGGAACCAGAAGAAAAAACACTTTACATACAACAGAACAATAATATGGATAATAGGATATGTTATTAGAAATGAAGCCAGTGCGTGAAATTACTACTTCAAAATGCTAAAAGGAAAAAAAAATGTCTGTCAACTCAGAATTTTATATCCAATGAAAATAACCTTCAAGAATGAGAGCAAAATAACACATTTTTTTTTAGTTAAAAGAAAACAGAATTTGTTACCAGAAGCCAAACAGTGAAAGACTTTCAAAGGAATTTCTTCTTGCACTGAAAGGAAATAATACCAGATGGAAATTTAGAAAAGAATGAAGAACAGAAAAGAATGCTAGATTGAAAATTAACACCATCCTCTTACTTTCCTTACTATATATACATATATATATGTGTGTGTGTATATATATATATATGTATATATACACACACATATATATATACACATATATATATGTATATATATGTTTAAAGAAAAATAATACTGGTTTGTTATTATGTAAGTAGATGTAATACATTAGAAAGCAGATTTACATTGTTTTGACATTCTTAGATTTCACTGGAATGGAAATATATTAATTCTAATTCAACAATGAAAAGTTAAAGATGTGGAATATATCCCTAAATTTATCCCCCCCCATGGAAAGAAGATATTGTTAATTATTGAAATTGAAATACAAATTAAAATATGATTCTAATAGTATTAAATTTACTAAAATGTAGCAATAAAACGAATAGGGGAATAAAGAATAGCATGGCATCAGGGAAAAAATAGTCAAATGATAGACACAAATTAACATATCAATATATACATTAGACCAATCTAAAATGTCTCCCTAAAGTCTCACATTTGAACATGGGACATGGTTGGAAGGGACAGGTCACTGGGGGCATGATTTGGAAGGATGTATTCTCATCCCTGGCTTCTTTCTTCTCTCTCTGCTTCCTGTCCACTATATGATTTTCCTCTGCTATGTCTTTCTGCCATGCCATATCTGCCTTGGTGGTAACTGACCATGGACTAAACCTACTGAAACTGTGAGCCAAAATAAAGCTCTCCTTTAAATTGTGGGTATCAGGTAATGTGTCAGTTAAAGCTAGATTCAGGAGGTGTTATTTGTGTTATGATTTATATTTAGGTATCCCCTAAAAGCCTCATGCCCTCATAGGTGGGGCTTTTAGGAAGTTATTGGAACACAGAAGTATGATACTTATCAGCAGATTGGTCCACTGATGAGTTTATAGCTAAATGTGATGTTGGGAGGTGAACCCTGTTCAGAAGAGGGGGTCACCAGGGGCACGGCCTACAAGGGTATATCTTCCTCCCTCCTCCCTTGATCTCTCTCTCTCTCTCTCTCTCTCTCTCGCTCTCTCTTTCTGTTTCCCACTGCCAGCCATAAATTGTTTCTCCTCTGCTATGCTCCTCTGCCATGCTACCCTGCCTTGGAGCCAGCTGACTGTGGTCTGAAACCTTTAAACCTCAGGCCAAAGTAAACTTTTCCTTCTTCAAGTTATGTTTGTTGGGTATTGTGTCCCATCAACAAGAAAGTAGCTAAGACAGTTTGGGAACAAGGAGTCCATTGGCAGTTGGTTAGGCCATGTTATGCTCTGGCAGAAATTTTGTCTACATTGTGCCCATATCCTGAGAATTTGAAGGAGACTTGAGATTAAGGGCAGCAGACTAATTAATCTGATGGAGAAAATTTTAAGGCAGTCCAGTGTTCAAGCTGTGCAGTGGATACTGCTGGCTGCTTTTAGCAAGCTCTACAGTGAGGATCAGGAGCAAATAACAGAGCTGAATGATTCGAAAAGTTTGCAGTTTCTCCAGAAAGGAAGTACCTGAAAAGTTAAGGCAAAGAAAACCATTGTTGCTGAAATATATAAGCATTTAAAGGAAGCCAAGTATTATGTACAGGAACAAGAAAAAGATTACCTGAGGGCATTTCAGAAATCAGCAAGACCCTCACTCATGGCAGGCTCAATAATATACTTGCGTTTGAGAAGAGAGTTTTTGTGATACCTGCTCATTTAGAGCTGTCTCCTACTTTCAAACTAGTTCACACCATACCTGAGTAGTGTTGAAAAGGCAGAATATGTAGCTGAAGACATTTCTGATGTCATCGTTATTAATTAGCATAAAGTATGCCAGAATCCAGGTAATTCCAAAAATGATTGCAATCGATAATGTGCTAAAAATTTTCTTTAGGGTTGAAATCTTTTTCGTGCTAAGTGAGAGAAAACAGGAAAGAAAATATGATTTATTAGTTTTTTTATTAATGAATGTCATTGTTATCCCTATTTACCATGCACATTTAGCTACTTATATATACTGCTCATTTAACAAAACTATGCCTCAGATAGAAAACAATGATACTAGATCTTATGTCCCTCTGAAGACAATCTAATTTAGCAACCCTTATTTAAAAATACCTTAATACCTGTTTATAAGCTCAGGCAAGCACAGTTCCTTAAATATTATTGTAGGAAAGTTTTACTAGGAATCAAATTTTTTATTAGGATGTAATTTTTATTATGTGGATAGTACTACAAGATAAACCAGTGTGGAATTCCTATTTGGTGGTAAAACATTAAGAACATTAATGAAAACATTAAGAAATGGCACACACAGAGATTTGAAAGGGTTTGGTCATGAAAGTTTGCCTTTTCTTACTGCCCTTCAGAACCCTGAGATCACTGTTTTAAAAGATCTAGACTGGCCTAATAGAGAATGGGAGCTAATGTGAAGCAAAGAAGCTTTCTCAACTGAAGACCTGCCATCTGAGACCACTAAGTGCTACCAGATATGAAAGTCAGTCATATTAATTTGTTAGTATTTGAACCAGCCATGATGGAACAGCTGCCAATCCAACACTCAAACTCATGACAAATAATAAATATTTGTCATCTAAGATATTAAGTTTCAGGCTGATTTGTTATATAGCTTATATACTACATAGAAGAGAATTTTTAAACAATTAAATTATATATGCTTTTCCTTCTAACTAGGCTTAAGAACCATGCACTATCAGTCAATCCAAATACAGAATTATAAATTCTTTTGGTATCTGTGGCCAAAAATGATATTGTTTTGTATAAAGGAAATATATTCTGATTTGCAATTAGTCTAAGTAGGTTTCAGCAAAGTTTTTTTGCATTATTACTACTAGTAGTTACATACTAAACATATGTTTTATTGTTTTTCACTGACAATATTTTGCCTTAATGTTAACTATCATTCAAGGACTAAAAGTTATAATAAATAATGTGAAATAGGAAGAAAAGGGGCAAAGGGGAAGGGGAAGTGGGAGGGGTAGGTGAAAGGAAAGAAGGGAATGGAATTAA